TTCAGGTCCTTTGATTTTGTGTGAACCCTTGAAGTCTTTGTGTGTGTATGATGAGTTCCTGTCTCTTGAGATTGGGATCTCTTCCTGGGATCTTGGTAGGAGTAATTGTTTTATAGTAGCTGCTTGTTGCATTAGGTTGCAATATCCTGAGTTTCCTGTTATGCCTTTTGGTTTGCTTGTCACAAGTTTTATAGCTTGCCATCTATTTGATTTCTATGGGAAAGGATCGTAGCTAATTTGTAGGCTTTTTCTGTATCCCATGCAAAGTGAGGGCTAATGGAGCTGACCCTGCTTGTGTTTTCACTTATCCTTTCTTTTAGTGGAATTTTCCTTCCCCTTCTAATGTTTTTAAGATTTCTTTTCTTTTCCTAGGAGAGGGGTGAATCATAACTTCCAACACTTCCTTCCTTCCTTGTCTCTCTCTCTCTCTCTCTCTCTCTCTCTCTCTCACACACACACACACACACACACACACACACGAGTGGTGCCATTTTAAAGCCTGCTGCTTTAAGAGAGAGGGGACCTTGCAACGGGGCTTTGAGCACCCACCACCCCAGCTGTCGCCGCTCCACTGGGAGATGCTTTTGGAGGGCTGAGGCAGGGGGTAATCACACTTAAAGCGGTCCCGTTCAGAGGGAGGAAGAAAAGTTCAGCAACCCTTCTCCTTGGGCATACACACACACACACACACAGAGCATACACTCATGGCACTGGAGGGATTCCCCCACACAGAGTCTCCTTTCAGGAGATCCTCCCAGCACCAGAAGGAGCAGAAGAAACGCCAAACTTTTCTTACTCCCTTCCCTTCAGAGAGGAGAGCTGTCACCTGGCTGTCCATTTATGGTCCCCCCCTCACCACCACCCCTGTGTCGAAGTACCTTAAAAGTACAGGCTGCGGCAGCTGCCTTCATGCTGGGAGGGAGGAAGAAAAGTTTGGCAACTCTTCTCCTCGGGCATACACACACACACACAGTGACTTGCCCACATGCCAACTCCTTGCAGAAGATCCTTGCATGTGCATGGCGCTGGAGGGACTTGCCCATGCACAGAAAGTCCCAGCCTCACGTGTCCCGTGAATGCTCGAGAAGGAGGAAGACAAGTTTTTCTTCCTCCCTCTCTTCTGACCCACACTGCCCAGGCAGTTGAGCAGTGTCGTGTGGAGTAAGTGTCTTGCCAGCCAGGGCAGCCATGGGGCTCCTACCTCATACAAATGCAAGTTTGCAGAAACCCCAGGATTCCCGGATTTGGCTGCAAGAACTGCAGACAGCCTTCCTTCCCCACCACACACATCCTCCTCCCACCGCCCCATGCGAGGCAGGAGGCCCGAGAGAAAGTGCCTGTCCCAAAGACACAGCCCTCCACGATGGAGCCCTTCCTGGGGAACAAAACAAGAACATCCCAAAGGCGAGCTTCAGAGTGGTGGAGGCGGTGCTCTGGGAGGATGGCCCTTGGGGCACTGGGAAATGGAAACCATCTTTTGCAGCACAGCAAAATTTACTTTAGCAACCAGGAGTTGCTGCTTTGGTTTCTGCAAATCCCCCTCCCTTCGGGAGCCATTTCCTGATGTGGACTTGCAGGACCCAAAGCTAAATTTTGCTGTGCCGGGAAAGAAACTCTCGTTCTCCCAGCTAGACCAGCAGGGAGAGAAGCAGCTGATGACCCCTCTGGACCCAACATGAGCCTCTCCACATGTTCTCCTGCTGCTTTTGCTGGGAGAGCGAAAGTCTTGCACAGTGATAAGCTAAATTTTGCTTTGCCAAGAAAGACTCTCTCACTGTCCCAGATACACCAGCAGGGGAGAGAAGCAGCCACTGACCTCTCCGAGCTGACGGAGTTGCTCCATGTGTTCTCCCACGAAGGCAAGTGGGGGGGAAGGTGACGGGCAGTGGCAGCAAAAGGCAAGTGGGGGGGAAAGGTGACAAGTGGCAACAGGTAGGCGACCAGGGCTTGCATGCAGAGCCTCACTTACCTAGGGAGATCATGGTGGAAGGCAGACAGTGATGGCTGGCCGGCGGGCGGGTGAAGGCAGACTGCAGGCAGCGATGGCACATGGCCATGATAAGAAGGTGCGGGGTTAGAATGCAGTTAATTTGTTGCACATGCATGTGATGTTGCGCATGCACAATAAGGACTGACTGGGCAGTGAGTGGAGAAGTGGGCGGAGAGGGGCGGGGCCAGCCAAGGGCCCGTTTTACCGGTTCTCCAAACTACCGGGAACTGTAACAACTGGTTCTATAGAACCGGACAGAACCGGTAGAATCCCACTCCTGCTTGTGACTCTGAAGTAACCTTACTTAATAAAGCAGAATATGTAGTACTAGCTGTGTCTATAGTGGGCATGCCAGCAATTGCTGCTCACGTTCACCTTAACATTAACTTTGTTGCATGTAATTTAGCAAAAACAATTAATGCTACTTCTTCAGCTATCTCAACAATCAACTACGAGATGCAAGCATTGAGGAAGGCTATTCTACAAAATCTATGTTGTTTTAATTTGTTTGATGAGAACCATCCAGCACCAGCTTAATATTTTACACAATTTGGCCTCGGATTTGAAAATTGATAATTTAGCATTTTGGTGGGAAAGCTTTTGGGCTTGGTTACCCACAGGCTTATGGGAAATATTTTACATTATGTAGTCATTATTTGTGCTATTTTAATTAGTGGGTGCTGCTTTGTTCAATGTCTCCCTTCTCTTTGCAACATATGTATCACAGCTTTTTGCCCCAAACCCTCTCCTACATTGCCTCAGGGTCAGGTATATGCCCTGTGTAAACAACTGCAAGGATACTCTTCTACTGATTATAATTCACTTACTAACCCCTTTTATGACTATGCCTTGTCTAACAAAATAAAAAAGAGTGAGACGTAGTAACAAAGGAGATCCTGTAGAGGGCGCATGCAGCACACTGCTGTGTCTAATACAGGGGCCTCTTTGCATGATCTCACTCCCTGTCTTGGGCTGGAAAGTCCAGGACTTACACATAATCTCACCTTACTAACATCACCACTATTCTTAAGGATTGGTTGGGGGGGGGGTTCACCAATCCAAATGCTGTATCTATGTTACCTTTGTCTTTGTCAGGGTTCCAGAATGTATCCGGTTTAATCAGTAACTCCGAGACAGACATAATCTCAAAGTGCTTTATTAAAAACAGGAACTTGCAACGTCTGTTTAATTTCAGAACTGAAATCATTCCCAGACTTCCCACAAAATTCAACCTACACCCACCCACTTTTCTACACCTCATTTAATCACGTGAACCAATTACTCTGCAGCTGCAATTACTTGCTGTGACACACTCAGTAACCTTGAACTTTCAAATGAAATCTTTTCCTCTAAGAACTATTAAATTACATCACCTCCCCCCACATTCTTCAACTCTGTGGCAGCGATGAATTCCAGAGCTGACAGGTGTCTCCCCTTGAAAATCCCTTCTCCTATAAGGAAAAAAACAAAATAAAACACAAACAGGGGTTAATACGTTGTCCTTAACCTCCTCTCCCCACTCCACGCGGACCCTTCGGTTTGTGGGGAAAGTCCTCATGGAATTGGTTAACCAATTTATCAGCATGTACATCCCAACTTTTTACCCAACTAACATCTGATAGAAGAAACCCTTCCATAAGACCAAATATTGCAATCGTCCTCAATGTAATCTAGAATCGAGGATTTTCTTAATTTCATAAGGTGTCTCACCCTGTACAGTTAACAGTTCAGGGGGTGTGACTGGTATTGGTCTTATCATTGATGTAGCAACTGGTTTTAATAAACTACTATGGAAAACTGGATGAATTTTCCCTAATAGTCGAGGCAGACTTAATTGGACCGTGATGCGATTATTTTTGAAATCAGGAATGGACCCAAGTATTTTTGCCCCAGTTTCTTACTGGGCAGTTTCAATCTAAGATACTTGGTTGACAAATATACTCTGTCTCCCACTTTAAACGGTGGTTGAAGGGATCTGTTTGTCCGCTTGCTTTTTGTAATCTTTTGCAGCTTCAGTCAAAGCTTTATTTGTATCTTCCCAACCTTTTCTTAATGAGTTCATCCATTCTGTTAGAGACATGGATGTGGGAGGTTCTTTAGGTAATTCTGGCATAGGGACAAAGTCCATCCCAGTGTTGATTTGGAATGGAGTCAGCCCTGTGCTGCTATCTACTGCATTATTATAAGCAACCTCTGCAAATGGTAATAATTCAGCCCAGTTTTCCTGTTGATAATTTACATAACATCTAATGTATTGTTCAACCTTGGTATTTGTCTGTTCTGCTGCTCCGTTGCAGGCCAGATGGAATGTGGAGGATAACCCTTGGGAGGACCCAAAGACTTCAAGAATTCCCTCCAGAACTTAGCAGTAAATTGTACCCCTCTGTCTGATATTATTCTACAAGGTACTCCATGTAGTCTATAGATATGCTTCACGAACAGTTTTGCAAGCTTTTTTGCAGATGGAAGTCCTTTACAGGCTGTAAAGTGGGCCTGCTTAGAGAATAAGTCAATGACAGTCCAAATGATTGTATTCCCTTCACTTTCAGGTAATTCTATGATAAAGTCCATTGCGATTTCTTCCCACGGCTGTGTTGGTTCAGTGACTTGTTGGAGGAGGCCAGGGGTTTTTCCAGTTCTGTGTTTCATCGTGGCACAAATTGAGCAACCTTTTACATAGTCCTCAACGTCAGGTTTCATTTTTGGCCACCAGAACTGTCTTCTTAGTAAATGTAGGGTTTTTAAGGACCCAAAGTGGGGGGGGGGGATTTGAAAGGCAGCGGAAAGATGGTTTTCTTGGGGCTCTGAGAAAGCCGCCGATACCCCCACAGCTAGACGGTCCCAGGGGACCTGAATTGTCCTGGTGAGATGGTGAGTGAAAGGAGCACATCCCGTCAATCCCAGGGATATTGCGAAGTCCCTGGTAGATCCAGGAAATCTCCAGCAGTCTGACAGCGGAGGGAAGCAGCCATTTATTGCGAACCACTAAGAAACTGTGCCAGCCCCAGAATGGAAGAAGAAAGAAAGAAAGAAAACAGTTTGTCGGTTTGGGTGAGTAACTTTTATTTCAAAAAACAAAGAAGAGTACACCAGATAAAAGAATTATTAAAGAAAGGGAAAACAGGAAAGCTAAGAATAGCGGCGAATGGCAAGAACTGTCAATCTTGTTTGGATTTATTTTTAATTTCGTGGGGAAAAAAAGGATTATTCCGTCTGGTTTCTTTGTTTAAATAACTGGACTGGACTGAGCTTAAAAACAAAAAGAAATTGAATCCTTTCTGCTTTTTCAGTTTAAACATACAAAGTACTTTTCCTTCTTTTTTTCTTTTGTGACTTTCCCCTTTTACTTTTTACTTTCACTGGTTAGAGTATAGAGATACAGCGTTACTAAGGAACAATTAAAAGGAAAGCTAAGCAACACTGCCATCTGGAGGTCACATGAAAAATCTTCTTAAGAATAATGAACTAATTATTTTGACTACAGAGAAGTAGAGAAAGATAAGAAGTCAGCACTGAAGACAGGTGCTGCCTTTAAAGTTGAATAAGATTAAGAGAAAGAAAGAACAGTGTGACCTTGAACAAGATATTTGCTTTTGGCTTTGGCTTTCTGGACTTACTGAATGTTACACTGATACTTTGTTTTACTTACGTACAATGGATTTATAAATTATAGCTGGCACCTTTCTTTTTCGTGTGTGCTTTGTCTTTGTTTTGTTTTTGACCATCCTATTTTTGCTGTAGTACATTTTGGATTTATTTTATTTTTTCTCCTTCCCCCTCTACTGGCTTATGTTATTTTTTGGACCAATTTTTTTAATATGGATTAATTTTGGATTGGTTTTTTTTTAAATCTTTTTTTGATATTTCTCTTTTTTTTACTTTTTCTTCTTCGCATTACTGATTGATTGACTAGTAAGTGGATTATCTTGGCATTCCTTTTTTTTCTGTCTTTCTATTTTACGTAGAAGTGGATGGATTTGCATTGCTATTTTCTTTTCCCCTCTTATTTTTGGGAGGAATTTTTCCTCTGATCTCCTTATTGGGCTTTTTGAATCTTACAGGTTTTTTGTTTTTTTGCTATTGGACTTCATCGATTCTATCATTGGTTTTTGTTTTTTTTGTCTTCTTCTTTTTCTCCTTTTTTTTCCTCTTCTTTTTGATCCCCTTTTTTATTGGATAAAATTGGATTAAGGTAGAGAAGAATTTGAAGATTGGTTTTTATCTTCCCTTGGGTCTTTGTGAATGGATTATAATTTGATTTGACATGAGTAAGAGAATACCTACAGGATCATCAATTCCTACTTCCTCATCACTGAGCCCAGCTGGTCAATGATCTATTACTACGATGTTACGACAGGAGAAAGAAAAAGAAAAAGAAAAGGAGACTTCCATGCAAGAAATTAAGTCTATGTTACAAGTAATACAAGACTAAGGGAAGCGTGCAGAAGATAGAATGGAGAAGTTAGAGGAAAGGATGGAGAAGATGGAAGGAAATATACAACAGGTATTAACGATATATGGAGAAAAAAATACAGAAGTTGGAAGAAAGAGGTGATAAAACAGACAAGAAAGTGGGAGAAATAGATAATAGATTGACAAGGGTCGAAAGCGAGAAAGGGAAAGATTCAATATCTTGGGAAATGGAAAAAGCTGATTTCTATCTAAGATTTCAAAATATTGAGGAAGAAAAGGGAGAAAATCTTAAAGAAATTATGACAGAAATACCAGCGGAACCCTTGGAGATGACCAAGGAAAAGGTGATGGATGGAATGGATGAAATATATTGAGTATTTACCAGATATGCAATGAGAAACAAATTACCCAGAGAAGTACATGTGAGATTTACCAAGAAAACAATAAGAACTGAGATACTGCAGAAGGCAAGAGACAATCTTTTGAAGTACAAAGGAAAAAACATTATAGCTTTGAAACAAATACCAAGAAAAGTGAGAGATTTAAGAAGAGAATATCAATTCTTGACAAAGATGTTAATCAAAAAAGAAATTAACTATAGATGGTTGATTCCAGAAGGTTTGACATTTATTTGGTGAGAACAAAGACACAGAATTGACTCGGTGGAGAGTGCAGAATTATTCTATGATGAATACTTTGGAGGAACAGAAGACGAGAGAGCAAGAGAAGAGGAACTTAAAATGCGAGTAGAAATGGCAAAGGAAATGGAGAAGGAACAAAGGGAGGAGAGGAGACAGGAGGAAGGAGCAGTAGGTGGCCAAATGATAATTACAGAACCAAGGGAACAGAGAACAACAAGAGCAATAAATCCTAACTATAAAGTATAAATAATAATGGAAGAGGAAAAGAAACTGATTTCGATAAATATAAATGAATTAAATTCAGCTATTAAAAGGAAAAAGATATTCCATAAACTAGGTAAGTTAAATATGGATATAATTTCCTTACAAGAAGTGCATATCAAAAGACAACACACACTTTTGTTGATTGTTCTAGAATTGGGACTATATTTACATCACTGGCACAACAAAATAAAAGAGGAGTCGTCTTATATATTAGAAATACAATTAAAGCCAAGCAAATCTATGCAGATGAAGGAAGAATATTGATGGTTGAAATAACAGATAATAACTCAAAAGTACTTTTAATCGCAATCTATGCTCCCAATAACCAGCAAGACCAATTCTATAAAAATCTACATGATAAAATAATTGAACTGGATTATGATAAGATAGGCATTCTAGGAGATTTCAATGCAATTATAAATACTGAACTGGACTATAAAACACAGAAAACAAACAAGAACAGGAAAATATTACATAAATCTTTTTCTAAGATGGTGGAAGAGCTGAGTATTAAAGATATTTGGAGAGAATTGAATAGCAAAAATAGACAATTTACATTTTACTCAAATAGACATTTATCATAGTCAAGAATAGACATGATTTGGATGTCAACAGATTTAATACCTAATATTCAAGAAGCAAATACTGATACAAACATTTGGGCTGACCACAACCCAATAAGGATTAAATGGAAAGGACAGAAGAAAAGATCAAGATGGACTTTGAATAATTCAATTTTTTTTTTGAAAAGAATTTTATTGGTTTTTTAACAAACAAACAAACAAACAAAAACATAAAAACATCTGCTCTCTTCGATACTTATATACAAACAGTGTGTCGGTTGGTTCATCAGTTTTGTGCATTCATTTCGTAGTCACAATTACAAATACATTACATAATAACTCTTATTATCAATTCAAACTTATATATCCACATATCATTATTGGAAAAAAAAATTGACTATACTTTTATTCAATCATGCCTTATGAGATAACTATGATTTAAGTAATTTATTCTATAACAAATCATATAATCATACCTATTCTATCTTAAGAAAAAAGAAAAAAAACATTTTATAAATGTAATGTCAAGTAGCAAAAGGGAGAAGAAAAGTCAATAATATTCCTTATTACCTAACATTCTAAATATTCTATTTTTGTATTTCATCATCCAGCCATTGATAGAAAAGGTCCCAAATTGTATAAAATTGTTTATCTTCTTGCTCTCTAATTTCAAATGTCAATTTACTCATCTCAGCACATTCCAATATTTTCTTAATAACTTCCTCCTGCAATGGAATTTTCTCATTTTTCCAATTTTTTGCAAATACAATCCTAGCCGCAGTCAATACATTTACAATCAAGTATTTCAAATCTTTACTATAAACATCTGGTAAGATTCCCAATAAGAAAAGCTCTGGTTTCAAATCTATATGTCTCTTTGTCTTTTTTTCCAACCACATGTGGATTTTAGTCCAGTATTTTCTAGCATCCTCACAATCCACCACATATGGTAATATGAACCAGGTATCTGATGACACTTCCAACATTTTTCCGATTTGTTCTTAAACATTCTTGCTATCCTTGTCGGGGGGAAATGCCACCTGTAAAACATCTTATACAGATTTTCTTTATAAGCTGTAGACATTGTCATTTTATAATTTTGCGACCATAATTTCTGCCATTTCTCTAAATCAATCCCATATCCAAAATTCCTCCCCCAAACAATCATAGTTTCTTTAACTTGTTCTTCCTCTAGCTTAATTCCCAATAAGTAGCCATACAGTTTTTTAATCATCTTTTCATCAGTACCTGTCAAAATCTTGTCTAAATCAGTCTGTTTATCGTAAAATCCCTCTGTTTTGGAATCTTCATCATACCTTGAGTGTATTTGCGCATATGAAAACCAATTCATCTGTATACCTTGTTCCTCTAATTTTTGTATCGATTTAAGTTCACCCTTTTCATCTAGTAATTCCCCATATCTAACTGTTTGTTCCTTTTTATAGATTATAGGATAAGAGAAAGCTTCTATCGTCGATAACCAAACTGGAATTTTCAAATAACATTGTTTTTTTATCTTCTCCCAGTTTAACCACAAAGACTCCCGTATATAATGTCTTCTAAAATAGCCCTGTGTTTTAGTTCCCTTGTACCATAGAAAAGCATGCCAGCCCAACAGCAAGTTGTGACCTTCTAATGTCAACAATCTAGTCTTCCTTAATGTTATCCATTCTTTAACCCACATCAAATTTGCAGCTTGATAGTACAACTCCCAATTAGGCAGGCCAAACCCTCCTCTAGTTCTAGCATCTTGCAAAAGCTTTAGCTTTATCCTCGCTTTCTTACCTTGCCATATATACTTCAACACAATTTTATTTAAGTCCTCAAAATAGTCTTTTCCAAGCCTAATTGGTATTGTTTGAAACAAAAATAAGATTCTGGGTAAAATATTCATCTTGATTGTTGAGATCCTCCCTATTAATGACAATTGTAAGTTTTCCCATTTCTTCAAATCTAGGGCTATCTGTTGTTTAAGTTTAATATAATTATTCTCTTTTAATGTACTACATCTTGATGTCAAATATATCCCCAAGTACTTAACCTTGTTTGTAACTTGGATTTTCAGCAAATCTGCCAATTCTTCTCTTTGTCTTAGTAACATATTCTTTGACAAAATCTTTGTTTTATCCTTATTTATTTTCAGACCAGCCACCTCGCCATATGTCTCTTATCTTTTCCAGCAGCTTCAAGGCTGTTTCTATAGGGTCTTCTAAAATAAAGACTAAGTCATCTGCAAAGGCTTGTAATTTAAATTCTTCCTTTTTGATTTTCATTCCTTTTATAGTTTTATCTTCTCTGATATTTCTATTCAACACTTCCAAAGTCAATACAAATAGCAAGGGAGAAAGGGGACATCCTTGTCTTGTGCCTTTTCTTATATTAATAGAATCAGTAAATTCTCCCTCTATCATAACCTTTGCAGTTTGCTCATGATAAATTGCTTCTATTGCTTGGATAAATCTTCTAGCAAAGCCCATCTATTCCAATAAAAGTAACATAAATCTCCAATTCACATTGTCAAATGCTTTTTGGGCATCTAAAAATATCAAAGCCAATTGCTTTTCAGGATGTGCCTCATAATATTCCAAAGTGTCCAGAATTACTCTCATATTATCTTTAATTTGTCTCTTTGGCAGAAATCCATTTTGATCTGGATGAATAAAACTATTCAAATATTTTTTAAGCCTTTCTGCTAATATCGAAGCAAAAATTTTATAGTCTGCATTTAATAAAGAGATCGGTCTATAGTTCTTAATTTGCAGTGGATCAGCCTCATCTTTTGGAATAAGCGTAATATAGGCTTCTGACCATGTTTTAGATATCATCTTCTTTAACATAGCTTCATTCATAACATCTAAAAGTGGAATGCTCAATGATTCTTGTAATGTTCTATAGAATTCTGCAGGCAGCCCATCTGGACCTGGTGCTTTCCCATTATTTTGTTTCTTTAATGCTTGACTTAATTCCATCATTGTTATATTACTTTCTAACATTTCTTCAATTTCTTTAGATATTTTAGGTAAGTTTGCATTCTGTAAGTACTGTTTAATTTTTCCCTCATCAATATTCTCTTTCTTATAAAGTTGTCCATAAAAGTCTCGAATAATTTCCTTTTTTTCTTTATTACCATAACAGACTTGACCTTGGTCATCTATTAACTGGGATATTTTCCTCGACTCTTTCTCCTTTCTCAGCTTATATGCTAGCCATCTACCTGGCTTATTTGCATCTTCAAAATAGTTCTGTTTAGCATTCCTAATCTTCTGTGCCAGTTCTTCTTTCTCTATTAAGTCCATTTTATGTTTAGTTATATCCAGTTTCAATTTAATGTCTTTTTTCTGTGGCATTTTCTGTAACTCTTTTTCAAGTCTTTTGTGCTCATCTTCCAGGGCTTTAATGACTTGCCTTTTCCTAGCATTCTTTTTTCTTGTATAATCTATTATCAAACCTCTCACATATGCCTTCATTGTGTCCCAAACATTCTGCGCTGAAGTATCTTCTTTTCTGTTTTCTTTAAAGAAAAAGGCAAGTTCTTTCTCGAGCCCTTGTATAAATTCCTTCTCCTTTAGGATAGTATTATTTAACGTCCATCTCGATCTTTTTTTTTGGCCCTTCCATTTGATTGTCAATGGGTTGTGATCTGCCCAAGTACTTGCTTCAATGTTTATTTCTTGAATACTAGATATTAATTCCTTTGAGATCCAGATCATATCTAATCTGGACCATGATAGGTGTCTATTTGAATAAAAAGTATATTGTTTGGTTTTGGCGTTTCTTTCTCTCCATATATCTTTTAAAATTAATTCGTCTGTCATTTTAAAAAAGGATTTAGGAAGTACCTTTCTATTATGTTTTGCTGTTGTTGCTATATAGTCTAATTTATTGTCCACAATTCCGTTAAAATCTCCCAACATAATTATATTGGCATAGTCCAATCCAGTTATTTTCATATGTAATTTTTTATAAAATTCTTCTTGTTTATCATTCAGGGCGTAAATTGCAATCAAAAGTGTTTTTATATTGTTATCCGTCATTTCCACCATTAATATTCTTCCATCTTCATCAGTGTAGATCAGTTTTGCGGGGATAGCCTCTTTAATATATAAGACCACTCCTCTTTTCTTACATTGAGTCAAAGAAGTAAATAATTTCCCTAATTTTGGCTGCACTAACAATTGTTCATGCTGTTTTTTAATGTGTACTTCTTGTAAACAAATTATGTCAAACTTTAATTTCCCTAGTTTATGAAAAGTCTTCCTTCTCTTGGCAGCTGAATTCAGTCCGTTTATGTTCATTGTTATCAATTTTTTCTCTTCCATGATGATATTTTATATTTAGACTTGGCGAGTCTCATACATCTTGGTTCACGTTGGTCTTTGATATCCACCTGTCCACGTACTACGCCTTCTTCTTTTTCCATCTCCATTTGTTCCTCTTGGGATTCAGTTAATAAGACCTCTTTTTCTGCCTCTTCCTCTCTCCTTCCAAAGAAATCTGCGTAGAAGAGTTCTGCTTTCTC